CTGTGTATTTACTGTGTGGATTGAGCAATAGTTAAGTATCCCCATACGAGTTTCATATCTAGCTCGCTGAAGGTAGCAGCAAAGTGGTTAGCGCCTCTGGTTAGTATTCGGGGTCAAATGTCGGCTATTCTGACAGGTATTTCGAAGTTTCTTCAGTCTTTTCTGACATGCAGGTTACGCCAAACCGCTTCTTTCCATACCCTTTCCAACTCCTTGTATACTCTATCATTCGACGCTATATAATCTGAGCTACTGACAGCGTCCTTAATTTAAAAAAAACTACATAAATATTCCAACCGACATCAATCTATGGAAAAAGGTTCTTGGATTGAAAGCGCCCCTTTCGTTCACGCAATCCTTGCCGAGGAGGTACATAATCTGTGCACAGCATCCAGTTCAGTTCGGTATTGTCCGTAGGTTCTGTTGGTAAGGAGCATGCGTCAAGTTGTTTTCAAAAAAGCACGATTGTGAAGTGGAAACGCCGTGTGTATTGCCTTGTTTTTAAATGTTTCAGACCAGGCCCACTTTCATAGAAAATATCCTGTGTTCATTCTTATTGAGTGGTTGATATTCGCGCTACCTACGCCAACCAATTACGTAAGTTCAGCCACTACATTTGATGTATTAGGTAGAGAGGAGTGCAGGCCTATGTGTTCTGTTTGAGGGGAAGATCAAGATTGATGTATGCGCTCCCCCCTCCCCCAATGCCCGCAATAAACAACCGAGCGATATATGAATACGCATAAAACAAAAATTTAGCTTATTCCAACCCAATTTATGTCCCCATTGGAAGTGGTTATAAACGTCACGACCTTTTCTTTCGGCCTAAGTAATTTTATGATGAAAAGGATCGTTTTGGTTAGGGTTGAAGTTTTCTTTCGCTTGTAACGAAGCAATATTAGAGTTTCAGAATCTTTCTGTTCCTCAAATACTTGTTAAATATGTGCTCAGTGGTTCACAACTTTTAGCCTTGTGATGGCATTGCCACACATTCCTGTTGCTTTTGTTTTTGATGTTGAAATTCTGAAGTTGTATTTATTGCATTTATATTTAAATGTTGTGCCAAAGTCTGAAATATGCATTTAAATTGTCAAATGGGTCAAGACTCCCTAGAAAAGGTTGGAAAGTATGTGTATCTTGCTGTTCTTATGAGTCAGGCAGTGTTTTTTTACAAAAGCTGTGGTAACAGAATCCTGCTGTTCAGCACTGATAACAGCAAAGTCATGATCGTGATATACGTAGTTCATATCGTCACAGCATTCTTTTAGTCATCCACTCATCTTGGTCTCTGAAGTTGGTGCTTTCCAAGAGATTTACTCCTACTGTAACTGCAAAATCATTTCTTGTTTCTTCCATCCATTCTGCGTGTTCAGAACATTTGTATCAAATGTTCCTCTCTTATAGATACAGAAGAGGAAAATGCTGGGATATATATTTCTTCTGGTACTTCTTGGCATACTTCATTTGCAAGGTGATGGTTAAACGTTTTATATATATATTTGTTGTTGTTAATTCTGTGAAGAATGGAAGATGTCCAAGGACCTTTGTAATTTGTACAGTATATAAATGTTGGGTAACTTAAATCAAGGATGTTAGAATGGGTATGCATGTAGCTCCGTTGGGAAGCATTAGTTATTTGAAAAAGCAAGAAACAGATTGCATATAACATTAAGAATTAAAAATGGATCTTAAAAAGTTCTAGGTGATGGGGATGTGAAGTAGACTGAATTTGAATTGGCTCAAGATAAGAATTGCCATTATTAGTAACTCTGTATAATTTAGGTCACCGATTTACTCTTTAAAATAAAGATGTCATGACTACAGTTTAAGGTGACTGAACTTTAAATCTGCAGGTTCTCAAGCCGTAAACTGCTACACATGTTCCTCATATAATGGAAGTGATGTGAACTGTGAAGACCCGTACAATCCCGCTATGTCGACATACACTGAAAAATGCATGGTACCTAAACAGGGCCACATAGGCACATTCCCAGCTAACTTCTGCATCAAAATTGTGGGAAAGAATGGTAAGTTAACCCTTTAATGTCTAATGAGGACAAGTCTTCAGGCTTTCACAATGGTTTGTACCTAATTTTTTTACCATTGTTGGGTGGACTTAGCAGTGTTGTGGTGGTTTTTCCACTATTCTGTAGCAAGGAACTATAAATATTGACATTAGGCCACTGTTTAGTCAGTTTGCCTCAAAGGAGAGTCACATTCTCTGAAGCGTTACCCAAGCAGTCCAATATGACACAATGTTCTCATCCAAAAATGGAGACAGGACTAAGATTAAATGATTTAACTGCTGACAAAGAGTAAAATAGTAGTTTTTCAGAACTATAGCCAATAATGATATAATAATATTTATTTGAGTGAGTCTTTCCGGTATAACAGTCGAGCAGCTCTCATGCCATGGATGCATTTTGTTCAGCTAAATTTCATCTAGGTTCTACTGTATCTTGACTACATTACAGTGGACACGTGGGAACTGATGGTGATTCGTGCCTGTGTCATGAAGACAATGGACACCCAATGTGGAGTGTTTCGCTATCAGGACTATACAATGACAGGCTGCATCCTTACTTGTGACTATGATGGTTGCAATATGGGGAGTCATGTTGGCCCTCACCTGCCACTTCTTGGGACTACAGTTATCTGGTTAATATTTAAATATTACACATAAGAAACTGTTCTCAGAGTTGAATCCCAGTGATTTTTACTGTTTTATTAAACTGTTCTTTTAATCACTTCTATGATACAGGATACTTTTTTTTAAATTATGGATATAATTGTTGTATAAAAACAGAGGTAAGTTGCCTTTTATTGTAGCTAAGAACCATTTGGTGTCATGTCCTTTTGAGTAACATATTCACATCAAAACATGTAAGCTATTAACAAACTTATACCAACACACAGTTGTACTGCAGTAGGTCTTGATGACATTTGTGATTGCAGTGATTTCCCCCCCCCCCCCC